CTGAGCTGGAGGGACAAAGCAGGTGCAGGTTGAGAGCGGAGGAATCACACAATAACCAGTAGTGGGTCTGGGCTTCTGTCTTAGATTCCGAAGCTCTCGGTGTCTCTCAATGACCCAGCAGGTGCTCACATGGTGACAGGAGGGCCTAACCCTTTCCTCCAATAGGTGTGCCTCATAGCGTGGTCACAGCAGAATGGAAAGGAGCTTCTGAAAGGTCAGAGCTTCTTCGGGAAGGAGACCTGGGTTCTGGGAGTTTCCAGGGTTAAGTGATCTTTTCCTGATGAGACAGAGACTGGCAGGTGATACTGAGGGCACTAGCCTGGCAAGGGGATGTGTACCAAGCCTTGTCAGGTGCCCTGTCCCAGCTCCACATTCCCCCATGCTTACCCTCCGTCACTGGGTGGTACCATAGTACCATCGGTAGCCATCATTAGTGGACATCCTCCACTGGGGCTTCCCTCATCTTTAATGTGGACACAAACCACTGCCTGAGTCCTGTGCTGGGCCAGGAGGGGCAGGGACTCTGCATTCCTCACCTCCTCCCGGAGGGGGCCCACTCTGGGACCACCTGCCAGCCACGGAGAGTGGCTATTGCTAGGCTTCTTTTCATTCCAAGACAGAGGCTATAAGCCATGTGTTGCTTAGGAGATTTCTGTAAGGGCAAATGTCTTAGAAGAGTAATTAAAGAGCTCTAAACTCTAATCACTAGACACAGAAACTAAGGCCTTTCTTTCCCTCCTTCTCCTTCCTTACTGTGGTACTGGTTTGGTGGCTTAAAGTGCCTGGTGCCAAGCCTAGCATTCTAAGTTCGATCCCTGGGACTCATTTGAAAGCAAGAACTGACTCCTTCCAGTTGCCCTCTGACCTCCACACATGCATCATGGCACCCTTGCACCTACACATGCACAGATAGGTAAGTAATTTTTTTTTTCAAACTCCAAAAGGTTAAAACAGAACAACAAAAACAACAAATGAAACAAAATAAAAATTAAAAAAAGAAAGAAAACAAATTTCAGCTCTCCCCCTTGTGACTGCCCACTACACCGGTCCCTCCTCCCCACTGAGCTCCTGTGGTCCCCTTGGAAAACTGGCAGTCCTCAGTTAGCACGCTGCGTGAAAGGCAGGTGGGCAGGGGCCTGTCTGTGCCCGTACAGTACCAGCACGGTACCTTGGAAACGCTAATTCCCCGTGAATGAAGTATAGGAGAAGGCTCTACCCTGGTACCTTCCACACTGCATCCTCCACTCTTACCCAATCAGGTACCAGCGTCTGTCTCCCCGATATCGCTTTGGGATGGGGGCTGCCACAGAATTGGCTATGTGTCAATTCTCACCTCCCTCCCTCTGGCTGCCTGGCACATCAGGAGGCTGCTTGCTGGCTGGGCTCTGGTGACTGACTAATCAAGCAAGTAGCCCTGCTGCTAGGGGGCTGCTTCAATCAGGGGCATGGCGCCATGGGAGGCGTTATTAGCTGCGCCCGCACAGGAGCTTGCAGAGTGTCCAGAGAGGAGGATCACGAGGGCTGCTCCACGAAAGCGTTTGTGTGTTTACTGACAGGCACATCTGCATTCGTTCTGCTTGGGGCTGAGTCTTGGCTCCTGTGCGCTGTGCCTTGAGCTTGAGTGGTGCCAGCTCTCTACCATGCCCCAAGGATCAAGTGAAGGGGCCTGGACTGATGGCTGACCAGGATCCTCTAAGCCCAAACTTGGTCCTCTTCTCTAATTGGGAATTATGAGATCTCTCAATTATGAGATCAAGAAACTACATGGGCTGAGGGGGAAAGGATGCTCAGTGGCCATGGGAAGCTGTAAAAGCCAACAAGACCATCATCACAGTCCTTTTTGGTCTCGAGAGGAAGGCCAGCATCATGGGCTCAACCATGGGCACAAGTGTACAGCTTTCTGGTCCTGAATTCTGGGACTGACGCTTGCTGACCGTGTGGCCTTGAACTCGGGTTGCTTCATCTCTGCCTTGCCTATCTGTAAAACGGAGGGGGGAGTGGTTTGATTTTGTTTACACTAGAAAGGGTGTGACTGTGGGTGTGACTGTCAAATTAGGCAAGATGCACCAAAAGCAAGTGGCTAGCAACTAAAATGTATATATTCTAAAATGTTAGCTGCGCATCCTATAACAGAAAGTGTAAAGTTCCTGCCCAAACTTCTATCCCACCCCACCTTGGGGCAAACACTGTGTGAAGCCCTCTGCACACCCAGCCTTCAACAACCCAAGGAAGTGGCAGTCTCAGCTCTGTTTGCTGGGGTTCAGTGACCTACTTCTGTCCCCCGCTCTCCAGAATCTCTGATTCCTCCCCTGGGACCTCAAAGACTGGGATCTGAACTACTCTGTCCCCACAGGCTCCTCCTTCTCTGTTCACTTTCGATTTTGCTTATCGCCTACAGAACAAGCACAGACCCAGATTAAAGGAAAATAGGAATTTTAAACCAGAGGCAGCCCAAGGTCATGGAGTCAGTTCCACCCACACGAAAAATGATGCTGATAGATGGGAGAACCCCGGGGAATGGCCGCCAGCACCTCTGGCTCCTGGACAGCCACAAGTTCTCCTTCATTCAACATGTTCTTATCCCACTCCATTGGTTATCTGGGCACTCGCCCTCTTACCCCAAGCTCAGACAAGAGTTGACGCAGCTCACCGAGCAGCCAGGAAGCTCAAAACCTATGCTCCTTCACTATGGGAAGCCCTGTGGCCAATCCTAGGCCTTGTTTTCCCCACCCATACAGAGGACCATAAAGCCTTTCCCATCTTGTATCACAGGCCCATTTCAAAGGCTGCCAATAGTGACACTGGGAGTCATTTCTTGCCTGCACTGTGACCTTCCCCCGGAACTGAAGGACTGCAGGAAGGCACTCGCCTGCACCCTATGCTGCCCCTTCCATTTCCTGGTGCCCAGCAACCTTTCTCGGAGCTTGGCAACAACAAGCTCTGGAGAGGCTGAACAAGGCATCTGCGGGCAGTGATGAAAGGTGGGGAGGGAGGTGCCAACTGGAAGGCAACAGATCTAAAGGACGAGTACACAAAGGGACCTTACGTTGTTCTTCTCCACCTATCTCCCCCTTACCACTTTAATGCCCATGCAGATGCCTCCAAATACACTATGCAAAGAAAAGACTGTTCTCATTTCACATGCAATATGATGGCTAGGAACAATATGAACAATATTATTTTAGTGCCCTGGGAAAAAATTAGCAAGTCAAATATTGAATCAAGCCTGCAGCACCACATGCTAAGCAGACTGCTTTGATCTTATCCACACTAACAGCTCTATTATTGAATCTAAAGTCAGTGAGCACATATCAGACCAATATACAATGCATATCTGAATGCATGTTTCAGAAGCAAGGAATGTTTTGACAAAAGGAAGAACATATCAAAGTCACAGCTGCGATTGAAGCCCAAATTTGCCCACCTGCCCTCTTCTCTCGGGGCTGGAGGTTTTGCTGGCCACCAAAAATGTTTGTGCTCTGGGGGCCTGCACATGGGTCCAGAAATACCTGCTGAGCTCTTTTTTTTTTTTTTTTTTCCCCTTTTTCTGGAACCAACAAAGAGAGGATTTGTCACCCCCTACTCATCCTGAGAGTTGTATGAAATGAGAGAAAAAGCAGGCAGATACCACACAGGGCGTGGCACCCTCTGGTGGCCACTTCTGTGGGCAGTCTCCCTGGCTCTACAGAATTCCAGGAGTGGGACCCCCCCTCCTCCTGAGGCTTACTCCTCCAGGAAGAGCAGCTATGGGAACGGAAGGAGGAGGCGGCGGATTATGAGGGGAGAAAGATAAACAGTTCGGCAAATCCTCAAGGGTCCTCCATCAAAAGCAGGGCCAGAGAATGGGTATGGTGGCACAAATCTTCAAACCTGGTAGAGGCAGAGGCAACAGTATCTCTGTGAGTTTGAGGCCAATCTAGTCTACAGAGTGAGTTCTAGGCAGTGAGACCCTGTCTCAAAAAATAAAACAAAATGAAACAACACAAAATCAAAAACCATGAAATCAGGGCTTGCAAACTCCAGTCTGTGAACCATATCCAGCATGGCATGCCCTTTGCCTGGTTACAATAGAGAGAACTGAGTATAGAGCAAAATGCTTTGCCCTGCATATTGGAGTCTGTGTTGGAGGAAAGAAGAGAGGGTACCATGTCCACTGCATGAAATTCACATAGGTATGGCCTACAATACAGAGTGGTTGCAATGGTCATATAAATAGTTCCAAAAAGTGATAATTGGTTGTTTTTTGTTTTTTTGTTTTTTAGATAGGATCTTAACTCTGTAAGGTAGACCGAATACTTACTTTTTGGCTTTGTGTATACGTGTAGGGATGCCTGTGTGTAGGTGGGCACAGGTGTGCAAACCGGAAGGCTCTCTCTGGTGTTCTTCCTCAGAACCCTCTCCCCTAAACTCAGCTGGGATTATAAGAGCACGCAACCACACCCAGTGTTTCTTAAAGAGCTTCTGAAGATCAAACTTGGGTTTTCAGGCTCGCCAACAAGTACTTCAGTCTGAGCTATCTCCTCAGCCTACTTCTGACTTTGGTTGAGAGAGGGTTTCTCCGTGTCACCCTGACTGTCCTAGACTCACTCTGTAGACCACGCGCTGGCCTCAAACCCAGAGATCCACCTGCCTCTGCCTCCCTGAGTGCTGGGGTTAAAGGCCTGCATCCTCATGCCTGGAGTATTTTTAGCTTTTTGAGGTAGGGCTTCCCTACGTATTCCTGGCTGGCCTAGAATTCACTCTTTAGACCAGGCTGGCTTTGAACTTACAGTAATACCTCCTGCCTCAACCTCCTGAACACAGTGTTGGTATTACTGAAAAACATCGTTACTTCCAACAGGCCCTTCATTAAAATTGTTCATTGGATTTTGTTTCTCACGACTGCTCCCACTGACAGGGCTGAACTCTGCCTAGACCTCAAACCTCTCTCCCTGACTCCTGGATGCATGACTGAGACACTGTGGCCACTGTCCCCCATTGGACAATCCCTCTAGACTTACCATTTTATTATTGATTTCATGGAAATGGATCTCACAGACTTTCTCCACAACGTCTTCATTCTCAAAAGTGACAAAGCCAAACCCTGAAGGAAGGAGAAACACAGAGAAGGAATGAGTTTGGTTCCTGCAGGGTGGGCAGGGTGGCCTGCAGTCAGGACAGGATCCAGACAAGCGGGGTGTTGGTGGGGGAAGGTAATGGGGAACGCTGTGGTCTGTGATTCCAATTTATACCCAGCACCCTTCCAACACAGAGGGGATAGTCAGGGTTCCACCCACATGCACCAGGCACCATGTGGCTTACATCTGCCCCGCAGCAAACAAGAAATTTACTTGTCTGTTATTTACAAGGGTCGGAGCCTGCTGGCTCTGTGTGGAAGCAGGCTTGTGGGCTACAGAGAGCCTCTTGGATCACTGCGGGCCTGTACCGGCCCTTTCTGTCAGCTTCGATGGCTAGCCCTCGGGTCGGCCTCCACATGGAGGCAGTTATTGGTCCTTTTCTTCCTGAATGACTTCCTCTAATACCTCATCAGGACATCCTGAGGCCTGGAAGGAACTATTAAAAGTTGCAGGCCTCTGTTCTGTGCGGGTATCCCTTTGCTACTGCCGCTTCAAACACGCTGTGGATTTGGGGCAGTTTAAGACTGTCTGATGCCTGCTGTCAGCCCGTCAGCTATCCACTGTATTTACTCGGCTGGAGACCGGCTTTACTAGACAAGCCGCACTAAAGAATTTTGGCAGGCAACTGCCGCTCAGCATCCTGAATGCCTCTCCCCACCCTTCTGCCCCTTCCTTTCTTCTCTCTCCACCCCCGACAGCATTCCAGTGCGAGTCCCCATCTGTGACCCTAACTCGGTAAGCACCAGGGTACCACATGGGCTCACTCAGGGTGGGTCTACCACCTTGCACTGAGCACGGCTGTTGGGTTGGCGCTGATGGGACCTGGGCAGAGATGGAGAGGCACCGGTGAGTCAGGGGCCTGGTTACAGTCTTGCCTGGGTATCACCAAGAGACCTGCCTCTGTTCTCTGGACTTCACACTTTGCATCTGGAAGTAAAGGTCATACAAACAGACCCCCAGACCAGTTCTCCCGGTGCGCTGCTGTACACTGGTGTGTGTGAATGTGTGTGTGTTGCTTTGGGAGCTGAAGTTGGTCATTAAGAGGAAACCCTTCAGAGTAGGACCAGTATCCTTATAGAAAGGAAGGATAGCTTGCTTTTATCCCTCTCTCCTGGCCAGTCAGGCTACGTTAGGTGTCTTTCTGTAAGCCTGTAAAGGGACCCTTACCAGGGCAACCATGCTGGCACCCGACCCTGACTTCTCGCTTCCAGAACGGTAAGTGACTTGTTTACAAGCTATGACATCTTCTGACAGCAGCCTCAAATAAGACACTCTTTCCCCTAAAGATGTGAGTGGGCTGAATGCAAAGCACGGGAAGGCAAAATCCGACAGGCTGCTTGTACAATACGATTATCAGTGCGTCCTAACAACAGATAAGAGACAGATGTAGCCTTTTCCGGTTTCCACGTCTGTTTTGGGATTCCACCACCCAAGGTAGGAAGACAATCTCTCACATCCCTTCTGGTTCATAAAGGCACCTCTACTATCACTTTCCAAGGACGACCAGGGACACAGAGCCGACACACAGAGCTTTTATATCACAGTTCCCACAGCAGGTTCTAGGAGATTCTTTAGGAAAATGAAGGTTGTGCCTTGCTCTCAAACAACCTCCAGTAAGACAGAGAACCAGGGCTACCTCACAAATGCAGTCATGATCTCCAGGCTGTGCCACTGGTTACCATGTACCAAATCTTGAGCTGATGTTCCAGCTGGCATACACAACCTAGTCCATTATCTGCACGTGAACCAGGTGTCTGATGTACTCTAAAGAGGACACAATAGTCTGTGAAGGGGCTCAAACTGGGAAGTTTTCCCAGCATCACCCGTTAAAAGCTGGATCCTCAGTAATGTAAGCCTGAAGCAGACACCACACATGAATTAAATGGATGCTCAACCACAGCCCCTCTCACCAGGCTCCTACTTCCCAAGTGATGTCCTTAGAGAGAACTTATAGAGCTTTCTGGGTCCTCTTTGGGTGTCCCCTTTTCCTTAGCCCTTTCGCTGCTGCAAAGCAGAGGACAGCCGTATCCAGCAGCAGTATCCCAGCATCCTTCTTTGGGCTTGAGTGTTTGATTCTCGACTTTTTTAAACCCCTGTCATTTTCCCGTGCACGCTGGCTCACCGCCCTCTTTCAGGGTTGGGAGAAGCCTTCAAACTATCAAGTCAAGTTTCCCATGAGCCCCATCCTGCAGCATAAGCACAGCCCTCAACAGTTAATCCTCTTTTTGCTGCTCACTAGTCTAAGAACTCAGATTCTACCAGACTCTACAAGAAGGGATGAGGGCCCAGAGGCCTTCACGAGGCTCACCAGGTGGGCAAGCACAGGAAGAACACAGAAAGGAGAGGCCAGTACTAACTTTAAGCCAGGCATGTTCTGGACTACTATAGGCTGGGACCTTGTTTCTCAGTGGGTCCCTGGGATGAAACAGCACCTCTAGAACACCACGTGCTGAGAGAATGATGGGATGGGCTTGTTCCGTGCTTCAGGGTCTGAGCATTTCACTACTCCACTCGAGTCAGTGTGTTGCTCTCGACTGATCTGGCCTTTCCTTCCACACTAACTGTCCCCCTGCATGGCTGGTAAGGAGGCCAACAGGATCTTTCTCTTTCTCTCTCTCCTCTCTCTCTCTCTCATTGAGTCAAGGACCCCTCAGAGACAGCCTCTTGCCAGGGCAGACCTTGCCCCTACCTCATGTCACTTGCTTCCAGCCTATGGGTCACATCTGGGCCCACCTCAGTACACCTTGCTAATAAAGCATGCCTAAGTGAGCTAGGGTTTTTACTGTTTTGTTTTACCTCACTGCTAATTAGAGTGACTGTAGGGCCTTGAATAGTTACCCTCCAAATATATAACTATACCCCATACCCTGGAAAAAAAAAGTGGTTTTGCAAGCGTGGTTAAGTGTTCCCAGGTTGAGGGAACACTCTTAGTAGAACAGCTGGTGTCCTCATAAGAGGTGGGATATGGAGAGAGATACAGAGAAAAGGCCATGGGAGGGCAAAGGCAGGCATGGTACAAGTGATATAGCCACAACCAACCACCACATGAAACTGTCACCTCCAACTGGAGAGGGAGTGCAGCCACACAGAGAACAGACTGCTGCTGTTTTCAGCCTCTAAGCTTGTGGTCTTTTGTCACGGCAGTCACCAGAAACTTGTACAGCGAGGGACGGGCTTCTGCTGTCCCTGCAGAATAGGACCATACACCTCGCCAATCACAGTGCCCTGCACAGGAGGCTTGAGAATGTGCGTGGATGAGCAAAACCCATGCAAGCTCTTGGGAAAGAAGGCAAAGCAAGTGACACTCCAGAAGGTGGAGGACAGCCAAAGATTTGGAGGGCCCTAGTAGCCCAGCGTATTCATACCTGACAACAGAACAGAGGCAAGGGTGGAGCCTTGCCACTCAAGCTGCACCTGGCGCTACTTAACTCCTTGGTCCACCATGGACGTCACTGTTGCAACTCTGGGTCATTATTACTGAGACCTGTGTCAGATCACCAAGCAGAGACAGGCAGAAGGTGGCCAGTTATGAAGCAGGGATTAAAGTGCAGGCAGCTGTAAGGGAGCCAGCGGGCTTTCGGCATAATTTTGGATTCTGACTCTAAGCTTTCCCTGACGGTCCTTCTTTCCTAACCCGACAGGACTCAAAATGGCCATGATTTTTCTGGGCCTGAAGAGATGGCCCGGTCGTTAAGAGAACTGGTTGCTCTTCCAGAGGACCTGGGTCCAATTCCCAGCACCCACATGACAGCTCACTATTATTTGTAACTCCGGTTCCAGGAGACCTGAAGCTCTTTTCTGTACTCTGTGGGCATTGCACACAAGTGGCATATAAAACATTTGTAATGCATAAAATAAAAATAAACAAATCCTTAAAAAAAAAAAAAGGTTTTATGGCTAAAGGAAGACAGCCTGGATTTGAAGCCTCTAACACCCTGAATGTGTCACAATTCAGTGGTGTCAAGGCTCATTTGCAGCACTTTAAGCATCCATGTCTTTTCAACATCCTTGTCTGTTTGGCCTGAACAGAGAAAACAAACTTGATTATGTCTAAAATATTTATTTATTCCATTTGGGGAAGCAAAGAAGCAATGAAACACTTAATTATCAATAAGTGTTATTCCTCAACATATAATCATTTTTATCTCACAGGTGCATTATCATTTCCAATGAATTAGTAACTCACTAGGAACAGCTTCCTCCTCCCCAAGTAAATTAAACAGACAAGTGAAGGACAGAAATAATGGGATTAGGAATTTGAGAGGGATGAGTGGGGAGTGGGGAAACCCCCTTTGGGCATTATAGTTTTTTTTTTTAAGTTAAAAAAAATTATGGTGGTAAAATATATATAACGCAAAGCTTCTCATCTTAAGCATTTTTAAGGTGCAAATCCCAGTGACGTGAAGGACACAGCTGTGAAGCCGTTTACACACCACACACCTCTGTAACCTGTTCATCAGCCCAATCTTAAGCCGATACCCACTAAACAGCAGCCCTTCCCAGAAACCTCCGCTTTCTTCTGTCTATGCAAGTGGTTCCCAACTTTCGCAATGCTGCAACCCTTTAACACAGTTCCCCATGTTGTGGTGACCCCAACCGTGATCATTTTGTTGCTACTTCCTAACTGTAACTTTGCTACTGTTGTGAGCCATGATATAAATATCTGATGTATGACCCTTGTCATGCCCCACAGGTTGGGAGCCACTGGTCTGTACACAGATACATTCCAGGTACCCTGGTGAGCACACCCACACAGCACCTGCCCTTTTGTCTCTGCTTAGCGCAAAGGCTTTCAGAACAACCTGCTGGCTGAGCAGCCTCCACAGAGCCACGGGAAGGGAGGCAGGAAGGAAAGAACAGTCACCCTTCGTTTTCCCAAGGGGAAACCGGAAATGGTATCTCATGAAGGCCCAACAGACTGGGGCACACAGATGGACAGGAGAAACATATTATCCTCGTTGAAAGG